CGAGTAAGTGGGTTTTGCTCAGAAAACTATGCGAGTCCGCTCCAAAAAAAGCATGCAGCTTTGTTATCTATGTCACTCTTTCAGGGACCTAACATGTAAATCTATTAAAGGTTTTCACAAAACTGTACGAAAAGAACAAGAAATGGATTACGATCGGTCACCCACAGTTGTAGATGCAGGCTGAACATGAACATTTTTATTTAAACTCCATCAACGGCAGTAGGAGCAGAAAGGAAATATAGAGGAAAATGATTGGGTCAGAATAAGTAAAGTAAGTCAAATTTGTATTGATAGCCCCGCCCACCTTGGTCTTTCACTGCTCACAGGAAGAAGAGATCAGGGCGAGTAGAAGCTATCCCTTAGCATTAGCAACTAAAAACATGGCAGAACACATTCTGGCTTGTGTTATAGGAAGCCAAAGTCTCCTCCCTTTCCGGTCAGCTCATCAAAAAATGAACACAAGTCAGCAGGGCTAAATACGCTATTTTCTAACCCGCTTTGCCTTATGCCCTGGATCGCACACACGTTGTACTGCAGTTTAGATGAAAAGTAAATGATGGGTGTTTCGACCACGCCAGTCACGTACTTTGAGATTTATTATCTTGAAAAAGTTTATAATTAGCATGATTGCAAACTAGACATCAGTATGTCGCATATGTGACATCACCACATAATCTCCTCTCCCCTAGTATAGCTGCTACTTACCACATGACCACAGTATGGTGGTTCTTTCCTCCTGAAAGAAGGATTTGAAGTTCACTAAACTTACAGTCATTTTCCCTGTTTTTCTCCGTGTCTGGTTCGATGACGTGACTTTGTTGGTTCTCATTTTTAGTCCTGGACTTATTTTCACACAAAACCTAAGAGGACGTTTCCCCCTGTTTGAAAATAAGCAAGTTTTTGGTATCAAAATGCATCTTTAAAATTCATGGCCATCTTATGTGAAATCCATGGCACAAAACAAGCGGAAATAGAAAATAGCGTTTTAGCCTCGTTGACTTGCATTCATTTTTTCGTTCTTCCAGGGACCCATGGTCCGGAAGTAGGTGGGCGTGGCTTAGGCTCCCTATTTGTGGACATGAAACATCAGTGTTGCCTTTATTACCCACAGCAAACAAAGGCAGTGGGAGTCGAGTTGCTTTTAGCCAGTCAGAGCCAAAGTGTTTGCATATCGTGAACATTAATGAACAATCCTATTGTTTTCCACTCTCACTCCTCTGAAAGATTCTATCTCCAAAAATAGGCGCACCAGAGCTCTTTTGGCACAGAAAATAACTCAAAGGGCATTCATTCATACTAGAGACCACAGAAGATTTACCAAAAAAACAAAAACATCTAAATGAAACTTTTAATGTAAATTTGGAATTAAGAGTGGAATCATCAACATGATGCAGTACTACCTTCGACCCTAACCCCTTCTAACCCCACTTTTTTTTCTGAAAAGGTACAAATTAAAGATCAAGTTCACTTGCTTTTGCAATGGTCTACTAAACATGAATACTCTGTAAGTTGACCTATGTGAGGAAAAAAGCTCTGGCACTCCTGTTTCAGGAAGTAGAAGTGATCCAGCTTCGGAAAGCAGGATTTGGAGTCTTACTTCCTGATATTTAAACATCTCGCCTCTGATTGGCCAACAGCAAACCAACTCTGCCACTGAATGTTTGCTCTTCAATGTTGATGTTTTATCTCCAACAGTAACACAAGCCTGAATGGGGGTGGGCGGGTGGGGGGGATCTTTACAGTAAGTTCTAATGGGAAACAGGCTTCTACTGTCTGAGGTGTTTTTTTTTTTTTTTTTTTTTTTTTTTTTTTTTTTTTTTTTTTTTTTTTTTGCAGAGCAAAGCTGCCCTCCCAGTGGAGGGTAACTCTGAAGTGCCTTTTCCCCTCCACCTGAACCAATCCTCATGTAACCCTCTGATCTCTATTAAGGTAGCGCAACTCATGGTTGTGAATGACCACAGACACCAATTCTTGTCATGTGTCTTGCCCAAGCAGAGTGTTTTAGAACCCTCTAGAGGCAACTAACTTACAAACCATTAAACCAATAACGAAACTCAGTCATCTAAGAAAAAACTTCTAGCCTGACTTCATCTAAAACCCTTAATGCTGTTGCACCGCAGTGATGAAGAAAAGCTTTTGTAATAAAAGTGAGTACATGTTGGTAAATCTGCTCCATGTTCAGGCAGGTTGTGACTGCAGAGGTGCATTCAGATCCAGGGCAGTTGAAAGAAACAACTGAGACGGATGGCAAACATGGAATAAATGAGCTGAGTTGTACCAGAACCACAGGAAGATGGGAGAAAACACGGGCAGAAAGGGTGATGGTTTAATTTTCATGTAATCATGTACAAAATGTGCTAATGTATTGTTGTGTGCCCTAGCTATGGGGTAAAGAAACACACTAACGGGCCTGTGATGATCTAAAGACTCTCAGAAATTATTTTCAACATTCAAAACTCTGCTCAACCCTCCATCTCCACCTCCTACCAATAATCTATCAGCTGACACCTTTGCCTCATTCTTCACTGACAAAGTGGCAGCTATAAGCAAATAGTTTACTCAGCTGGCCACTCCTGAACATTCACTACCACAAATTCCTTCTAGCCCAACAATCTCAAGCCCTACTGCTTCATTTTCCTCTTTTTCCCCTCTCACTGAGAACTGTGTGTCCAAGCTTCTCACGTGCAGCCGCCCTACTACATGCCCACTTGACCCCATTCCGACTCAGCTGCTCCAAGCTATTGCTCCTACAGTAGCCGCAGCAGTCACACATGTGATCAACGCTTCACTGACATCCTGTACATTTCCCACCTCTCTCAAGCATGCTCAGGTTAAACCGCTGCTAAAAAAATATCTCTTCCTCCAAATCACGTGGAGAACTACCGACCTATTGCTCTCCTCCTTTTTCTGTCCAAAATCATTGAAAGGGTGGCTTTCAAGCAGATCACAGAATACCTCTCACAAAACTGTCTGCTTGACCCTTACCAATATGGGTTCAAAAATGCCACTCCACTGAAACTGCTCTGTTAGCAGTGAAGGAATCCTTAAAAGAAGCTAGAGCGCCTTCCAAATCCTCAGTGCTTATCCTGCTAGACTTATCGGCTGCATTTGACACTGTCAATCATCGCTTCCTTTTGTCCACACTCTCTAGCATGGGCATCACAGAGAAAGCACATGCCTGGTTTGAATTGTACCTCACAGGACGATCATTCACTGTATCTTGGCTTGGACAATCCTCTACCGTGCACCATCTTGACACAGGAGTCCCCCAGGGCTCTGTACTAGAACCTCTTCTCTTTGCCATATATACCACCTCACTGGGTGAGATCATTCGATCACATGACTTCTCCTACTACTGCTATGCAGACGACACCCAGCTCTATCTGTCATTTCCACCGGACAACCACACTGTCTCTGCACGAATATCAAACTGTCTCTCTGACATATCAAAATGGATGAAATCCCACCATCTCCAACTCAACCTCTCTAAAACTGAACTACTTGTCATCCCAGCAAAACCATCCATACAACACAATATCTCAATCCAAAATGACTTCCTATCTCTGGCTCCTTCAAAGGCAGTTCGAAATCTGGGTGTTGTGATTGATGAACACCTGACCTTTAAAGATCATGTTGCCTCTGTTGCTCGTTCATGCCGCTTTACGCTGTATAACATACGAAAGATCAGACCATACCTAACACAACATGCCACCCAGCTCCTGGTGCAATCTACTGTCATCTCCCACCTCGATTACTGCAATGCCCTTCTAACTGGTCTTCCAGCCTGTACTGTGAGACCTCTTCAAATGGTCCAGAACGCAGCGGCGCGCCTGGTCTTCAATCAGCCAAAAAGAGCACACGTCACCCCTCTGCTCATTGAGCTCCACTGGCTACCACTAGCAGCACGCATCAAATTCAAATTGCTAACACTAGCATACTAAGTCCGAGATGGTACGGCTCCCATCTACCTGAATCCTCTTGCAAAGGCTTACGTCTCGGCCCGGCCGCTCCGGTCATCACAGGATCGTCCGCTAGCAGTGCCTACACCACGCTCAGGACAATCCAGACTCTTCTCACGCATCGTTCCACAAATGTGGAATGACCTACCAAGCACTACCAGAACAGGAGCTTCCTTTTTAATTTTCAAGAAACTCCTGCAGACCCTGCTCTTCAGAGAGCATCTTCATAACTAGCACCCTCCCTGCACCCGTCCCCCCTTTCTACTGTCCATTCCTTGTTCCCTCCTCTCCATGATTGATGTCAAGTTGTTGTTGTTATTGTTGTTGATAGCCTCAAGGGCAACATGCCGATTATCACTTGTAAGTCGCTTTGGACAAAAGCGTCTGCTAAATACATAAACATAAACATAAAGAGGGACAAGAGCTTTGGTGCTGCACGGGCAGACCAGTTCAGCTACAGAAGGGTTTGAGGACGAAGGGTGGAGACTGAGCTAAGAAATAAAAAATAACTGTTCTTCACCATTGGGTCAGGTCATGACCTTTTTTTGTTGTGTTTCAATTTCCTCAGTGCTGACAGTTGACCACTAACAGGTTTCTCTAATGAGAAGTCCAGACAGAAAAAAACAGAGTTTACAACTCTGGTAAAAGATGGACTGGAGTCATGTTAACTTAGCATAAAGTGATGTTTGTACATATGTAGCAGGTTGAAAGGTGGTTAATGAAATAATACATCATGTAGCATTTCTCAGCACTTATCCTTTCAGCTGACCCAGTTGAGATGATTGTTTTTTCAAATATTACATAAGAATATGAGTTGTGCTATTAACCAATAGAGTGTGAAGCAACTCTGATAATGATCTGAGCCTCTGACTGAAAACATTGTTATTGCATTTCACCGCCTTGCATCATCCTGTTTAAAAGAAATGACACAGTAATCCTCTCTCTCGCTGTGTGTGTGTGTGTGTGTGTGTGTGTGTGTGTGTGTGTGTGTGTGTGTGTGTGTGTGTGTGTGTGTGTGTGTGTGTGTGTGTGTGTGCTTACGTAATGCAATCTTTGCCAAGTGCAGACGGTTGACCCAGGAAATCTTACTGAGGGGGCTGGGAGTGTTGAAGACCACCATGAAGCTAACAGGTCGCCCGGACCTTCAGGAGAACGAACGAACGAACACACACACACACACACACACACACACACACACACACACACACACACACACACACATTTATAATTTAAACATGTTTAATAATATTACAAGACATCCACTACCAACACGCTAATTTTGTCTTTTAACCAAACACTTTTATCCTGGTATTTACACATTTTTAACAAAAATGAATTTTGTTGTGAAAATCCAAAAATAGACAAAAAAAAATGAAAAAATACGTGGGTATTTTACGATGTGTTCCATCTTGTTGATTTAAGTTCAACAAAGTTATTTTTTTGTGTGAATTTCATCACTTTTCCTTCTTCAGTTGCCTTGATAAACAACACAAATGAAACACTGACCCCCAAGGAAATAACCAATAATTTTTCTTTTCAAAAACAAAAAATACAAAGTCTACAAATTTCCAGGATGAGGATATATTTTTTTAAAGGACAAAAAAGGAAGACAGAGTTAATTTGTGACATCCAACTCATGCGCTGCATAAAAGATATAAACAAGCACAAAACAGATAGTGTTTCTAAAAAATTTCAAGCAACGGCTGTATTATTTACTATGCACCTTTTTCTTTTTCTACAAATCCCTGCAGGAATAAAGTGAATGAAATCATTTGGTTTGAAATGGAAGGACTTTAATGTTGGAGCAGCTTCTGGCCTGGGCGAAGCTTTACAGCAGTTCAGTCCACTGTGCTGCGGCTTTATGATTTCAGCCTCCACATCAATATTCAGGGCATACTCCGACGATCACGCAGGCTGGTCACAGTAAATCGCTTATAGGTGGGCATCAGCACTCAAAGGGGGGAAAAAGCCACTAATGTGTGGGCTTAGCTGGCACTACCGGTGTAGGCTCTGATCAGTTAGAGCCTCTTGGAGCCAAATCAAGCCTTGGCTCAGTTGGAGACCAGATCTCAGATGTGTGAAAGAAAGAACAAAAGCCAGAACTAAAGAATGACGGAACCATGAAGCCAGGAACAAATTAAGTCTTTTTTTAATGCAGCATAAATACACACACATTTAGATTTTACCTGGAGAATGAGAGTGAAAATGTTTGCATTTTAAAAAAAGAAAAAGTGATGTTACATCAGAAGGCTTTGACCTGGTCTGAAAAGAAGACACATAAATGCAGGAGAATGCATGTAATGTCCTGTGACAGTGAAAAAACGAACACTTTGCCTTGAAACTGGGTCACTATTGGACTCCTTTGTACACGTAATAAATGAAAACCTACTGAACCTGCCAACCTGGCAGAACGGAGGTTTGAAAATGTAAATCTTTGTTTTATCAAAAGGAAAATGGAGCAGGATGAGTCAATGTGGAGGAATTTTTTACAGTAAAATAGTTAAACAACAGACAGTTTTTTTAACTTTAAGCTAGAGCTTTAACATTGATCTCAGTGATTGTTGAGTTAGAAACTTGACCAGTTTCACATTTTACACCACTCTGCCGCCCTCTGCTGACCAAAAACCACACTTGATAGTTGTGTGGACCGGGTAGGTGTCCTAGGGGGCACTCATTACCTGCTTTACAGATATTAGTTGTTATGTTAGTGGTTAGTGTTTTCAGTTCGCAGGTCGTCAATAAAAAGTACAAGAAGAAAAAAAAAGAAGTTCGCTTTTTTCTGTGGACATCATGGTGGAGTCTGGAAGTAAAGATACGAGAGTAATGTCGGTGGAGGTGAAGCAAAGGGCCAAAACCAGAGTGAATATCGTGGCCGCCTACGCTAGCTTGAGTGGGCTAAAGGAGGCTATCATGGACTGATGGTGACCTGGCTTTGTTGCTACTGGACCAACAGTGTGAATATTTTTATTTTGTGGTTTATTTTAGTTTTAGTTGAATCATGTTAGCATTAGCTCGTTAATTCGTGCTAGCTACAGCAGGCTGTAGAAGGGTTGTTTAATGACAGTTGTAATTCCACTTTTAACCAGCAGGGTGGAGAAGCAGGAAACTGCATCATTAAAGGAAGTTAAAAGAAGCTACGAAGCTACATACATGTGAACCGTTTACAAACCGTTTTAGTTGGGGAATTTGAAGCTTTCCAAGGATTTAGTGATTGATATTCAAAGCACAACTTTCTGACAGAGCAATTACACATTACCCTGATAAATCCTTGTCTAGTTTAGTCATTAATGTTAATGAATTGTTTAATTAAGGTGCTTAAAGGTTAAATGAATAAAAAGAGAAACATTTATTAAAAAAGAAGTGTCAGTATATTGGGCCTTGTCCGTGACACCAGCTGACCTTAAGGCTTTTATTCATTTCTGTTATGAACACATGTAAATAAAAGTAATGTTTTTTTTCTTTCCTGTATTGGCTAAACCGTGTATTTATTTAATAAAATTAGCTGTTTGCTGATAAGACTGGCAAGCTGTAATAAACACAGGAGTGAAAGTAAATGTTTAGGTACAATTTTACATTATAAAACTGAAGAAAATGTAAAGCATGTGTAGGTTTGGGTCAGGGTTCCCAAAATGGTTCATTTTTCTTGTCCAAAAGACAACAAAATAATAAAAATACAAAATAAATAAACATGCTGCAGTTCTACGGTTTGCTATTCAAACAACCCTCAGCTCAGATGAATCTCTGATCATTTTCACTTGATAAAACTGATGAGTTGCAACAATGCCAGAGCTACTGGCACCCACTTTTGCACTAGTCTTCATGAAAAATACCTAAAATCAACATTATTGTTTAAATATTTCATGGGCTAAGTTTCGTATTTGTTGTGATCTAATTTCGGCCAAACTATTTAACCGTCTCCATTTCAGTTTAGATATGATACATGAATATGCATTTTTCTCTCATGTTTATTTTAATAATAATAATAATAATAATAATAATAATAATAATAATAATAAAAATAATAAAACATTGAACTTATAAAACGCTTTTCATGACACCCAAAGACACTTTCACACACACTCACATTCACACACTGCTAGTGATGGTAAGCTACTTGTAGCCACAGCCGCCCTGGGGAGGTCTGACAGAGGCGAGGCTGCCATATGGCGCCGTCGGCCCCTCTGACCACCACTAACACAGGCAAGTTGGGTGAAGTGTCTTGCCCAAGGACACAACAGCAGGATACTCCTGGCGGGAGTTGGAATCAAACCCATGAGGAATCATGAGGCAACCCACTCTACCACCTGAGCGACTGCTGCCCCAAATTTGTAAATATTTCTAACACAGGCCAATAAATGTAAAAATATAAGTCAGTGGATCGCAGTGAGAGTTGGACTCCGTCATGATTTAGTTTCTAACTTCTATGGAAATGATTTCTAGGTGTTGTCAAGGTGGTGAGGAGATGTGGGGTACCAGGCCCTCTGATACGGGCTGTTAGGTCCCTGTATGACCGGTGTCAGAGCTTGGTCCGCATTGCCGGCAGTAAGTCGGGCTCGTTCCCAGTGAGAGTTGGACTCCACCAAGGCTGCCCTTTGTCACCGATTCTGTTCATAACCTTTATGGACAGGATTTGTAGGCGCAGCCAAGGTGTGGAGGGCATCCATTCTGGTGGCCTGAGGATCAGGTGTCTGCTTTTTGCAGATGATGTGGTCCTGTTGGCTTCATCAAAATGTGATCTTCAGCTTTCGCTGGAGCGGTTCACAGCCGAGTGTGAAGCAGCTGGGATGAGAATCAGCTCCTCTAAATCTAAGACCGTGGTCTTGCGTAGGAAAAAGGTGGAATGCCTTCTCCAGGCCAGGGATGAGGTCCTGCCCCAAGTGGAGGAGTTCAAGTATCTCAGGGGCATGTTCATGTGAGGAAATGTTGGAGCGTGAGATCGATAGGCGGATTGGTGCTGCATCTGCAGTGATGCGGGCGTTATACTGATCTGTCATGGTGATGAGAGTTGAGCTGAAAGCCAAAGCTCCCGATTCACCGGGCGATCTACAGTCCAACCTTCACCTATGGTCATGAGTGTTTTGTTGAGACCAAAAAAATGAGATCGCAGATACAAGTGGCCGAAATGAGTTTTCTCTGCAGGGTGGCTGGGCTCTCCCTTAGAGATAGGGTGAGAAGTTCAGTCACCTGGGAGGGGCTCGGAGTAGACCCGCTGCTCCTCGAGGGGAGCTAATCAAGGTGACTTGGGCATTTCATCAGAATGCCTCCCTGATTAGGTTTTCAGGGCTCATCCAACCGGGAGGAGACCTAAAGGAAGACCCAGGACACACTGGAGACACTTTGTCTCTCTGCTGGCCAGGGAATGCCTTGGGGTCCTCCTGGAGGAGCTGGCCCAAGTGGCTGAAGACAAGGAAGTCTGGGTCTCTCTGCTTAGGCTGCTGCCTCCACGACCCGTCCTTGGATAAGTGGAGGAAAATGAATGGATGAATGGATCCAGAAAAAAATGGATTTTCCAACTGTGGGTTCAACTTAAAGCAGTGGTGTCCAATCCTGGTCCTGGAGGGCCGGTAACAGCAGGTTTTGTGGTTTTTCTGCTTCAACACGCTTGATTAGCTGGTTGAATCACCTGTGCAGCAGCTCATCAGGCTCTGCAGAAGCCTGTTAATCACCTGCTGATTGAAATCAGGTGTGTTGAAGCAGGTTAAAGCGAAAACGTCCTGGATACCGGCCCTCGAGGACCAGGATTGGACACCCCTGACTTAAAGCCATGATATAAAAAAAACCACAAATGCAAATAAAGCAACATTTGTTTAAGGTAGATAAAAAGCATTAAAATGAATTTTTCTGCTGCAGAAAAGCATATAAACTTGTATTATCCATAAGCATGCCTGTATCTGAAATTGCTTTTAGCGCTGCAGATATCAGATATTTTAGTAATCAAGTACTCTGATTGATTAATATAGTACTCTGACACACAAGTGCCGAACCAGCTGTTCTGACACAAGTGTGCTCTCTCTCGTGCACACAAGTCCAAAAAGCTACCAGTCACCTGGATCTTGCACAACTTTGTCCCAGAACTAAACATCAAATCTCAGATATATGAAATAAATGGACTTTTGCTAATTCAAATTTTTCCCATTCCACC